TCCAGCTGATAGGATGCTGCTCGGCTGGCTTTTCGGGGGGAGGGTGGCTTTTCAGGGTTGTGGGTTGTGGGTCAAGTAAATTTATGCATAATTTTGCTTTGTTTCTGCCAAAAACCCCCTCGAATCAGTTGAGTTGTGTGATTGTGTACGTGAGCATAACGGTAAAATGGCCCACGTCCAGGGTCCACACCCACACCAAGCAACCCCCTTGCCCACAAATACCCACAAACAGCAGACCCGGTGGTGGCTTTCGCCCAGCCTGTCAGAATTGATTGATTGAATTGCCACTTTATGAAATTTGTGAGTCTTCTGAGATGTGCGTGAAATTCGTGCGCTCTCTCGCTGCTGGGGGGAGCGCTTGGTGGCGGGGGCGGGGGCGATTGGGCTGCTGCCGCTGCGGGTGGGTGGTTGGGTGGGTGGGCGGTTGTTTGGTTTGGCTGCCACGCCGAGGGTTGCTGCTGATTTGTGTGCGTTTTGGCTACCATTTGCAGCATAAAATACATAAAATTATGTGCAGCGCTGAGGCGGCCATTAAACTTGATAGATTTATGACAGGCAGCCGCAGCAGCCGCAGCTCCAGCAACAACAACAACAACAACAGCAACAATCCGACGCAGCGCTGACTCTCGAGCCGTCACATAAAGATAAAGCTGATTAAAATTGCAAAATTGCTCAAATGAGATTTGGGGGGAAAAAAATTGGTATATGTCCTCCCATGTACAAATACAAATACAATTCCCATTCTCGTTCAATTTTATCGTTTGTTATTATGGTAAAAATAAGTGGCAGGATATTAATATCATAACTTTAAATAATATCAAATATTTTAGATATAATAGCATCATATTATCAAATAATTAGATATAATGTTATGTTGGGAGCATAAGAAAACACGATATTTGAGAAATTTGCTAAAGAAATATATTATTAAGGAAAATGTTTCTCGATAACTCCTATTCAAATGTATAATATTTACATTCGGCTAAAAGCTATCCTTATAAAATGGAAGAGTTCATAAATTATTTTCTAGAAATAGAAACTCAATCATAATTCAGGCACAGAATCTTCTAACGACATTTGTGAGAGAGAAAAGGCTGCAAAATTGCGATTTTTATAACAATTGATATAAATATCATGTCTTTATGCATGCATATACATATATTTAAGCACACAAACACACATTCACAAACATGAGCATAACCCTTTTAAACACACTCTGTTGCAGAGCATAAAAAGCACTCATATATAATCAAAAGAGAATAGCAAAGAGCAAGTAAAAACCTCGTTTCGTTTGAGTTTTTAGCGATGGTTGCTGCTATTCGAATTTCGAACTGCCATTGCTCTGCACTGTCCACACGAGATGTGTTTGTGTTTGTGTGCGTGCCCGTGTGTGTGTTCTCGTGTGGACCAGTGAGCGTGGCCAAGTTGACAGGTGATTGATTGACAGGCGGATGAATGGATGTTGCGCACGTTCGCGCGAGCGAGATAGTTGATGAGGGTCGCATGCTGGAAGAGTCGAACGTTTCTAAACACAAATTCTGCTCCGCCCTTGCGCAGGGGGAAACAATAAAGCAAAAACGAAAATCAACAAAACGGGTTTTTCTGGCTGCTGGCTGAAGCGGCAAGTCAAGTTGAATTCTGTATATTTGCTTATCGGTACATTAAAGGGTTACTTTATCCAATTGATAATAATTATTCTTATTGAACTTATCAAATCTAGAAAATAGTACACGTCTTTTTATTTATTTGTATATTTAATTATATGCAAATAAAATTTATTATTATTTTTTAATATTTTTAACTATAACTTTTACTAAATAAATGTTTTTCAAATTGCACTCCATGCTGTTTTAAGCGCACGACTCAAAATTCGAACTCGAATCAATTTACTCACAGAAACAAACTCAAACAGTAATAAGAGAGCTGCAACTCTCTGAGTGCACAGCGCTCTCGCCTCTCACATTTCGAAAATTGAGCGAAACATATAAATCAGCTGTTTTTTTGAGTGGCATTTTTTCGGAGACGCCACAATTGCAACAAGCGTTTGTAATTTATGAAATTCATAAGCAATATTAATCAATGCAATATATGTTAGAGTTACCCCAAGTAGTTGTGTCAAATATAAATTGTTTTTAACTCAAAGTTTGATAAGTTCTTAGCTGCATTTTGATAATATGACTGCCACTTACCGCAACACGCTAGGCCGTCATGTAATATGTAATATTTAAAACCGGGCACCAGTTCAACCGATTCTACATTGACTTGTGTAATCACTCGCACATATATTAGACACAAATTTACTTAATAAAACCCGGCATTTGCTTTTATTTATTATATTTTTAATTTCACTTCACTTTACTCGTGCACAGCGCACTTTTCGCCAACGCGCGTCATTTGGCACTCAACAGCTGGCGGCCGCTGCAAAGTTCGAATTTCGAAAAACCGCCACCGATTGAGAGCGCGTGAGTACGACAAGAGCGAGAGCGCGTTGTCGAAGTCGAATACGTTCTGCGAATGAGAGCATTTGAGTTATTTTAATTCGAAAACGAATTCCGGCTGCGTATGCTGAGCGCAACAGATTTGAGTGCGAATTCTTGTCGAAAAAGAACTCAGTTGAAGCACAACTTGATTTACGATAATAATATGAGTTGTTATCTTTTTACATAGCATAAAAAACTCGTGGAGATCTAATATGTTTTGCTTATTGGAAATGATAATATGTTAAATACAGTTAGTTGCAATATCAATAAAACAAATTATATTCACAAAATCACTCCAAAAATCTGTTTGAAGCTTTATAATTATTGTATCTAGTATATATATTGTATATATATTTTATTATTTTAATGTTATGTTTATTGTTTAGCATTAATTGAATAAAATTATAGAAAGGGAGAGTGCTATAACTTATTTAAGAGTGAGAGAATCAGCAGAGATTAAGTTTTACTGGAACTCGTGAGAATCGCATAGTAGGGCGATATTAAAAAAAAAGTGCTTCGCAATTATTAAAAGTTAACATTGTCTACGTTTGGTATACATCATCAAATATTAGAATTATACAAAGCTTTTATTTTGTAAGTTTGAAATCAAAATGGTTTCGACTGATAAACAAATGAGCTTTACTTGTATAATCAGCAATATACATTGTTAATATATGAATTTATATTTAGTCATATAATAGGTAATATTTTTTTACTTACATTATATGAACCGATTCATATATATTCATTAGAATCAGTTTTATTTAAGCACAACTGTACTGAATATGAACTAATTGCAGCTATATAAATAATTAAAAACAGTTTAAAATTCTTGACAAATCAGGTATCGATGATAATCATTGGGTATTTAGAAGGTAGTACTCAAATTGAATTGAAAAGGCAACATCCCATATAATTTGTTAATGCGAGCGGCGATTTCCGAGCGACTTTGCATAGTTGCCACAATTTGTGGCGCAGAAATCAAAACGATTTCTCAAATGTCCGAACTGCAATTTGATGTACAAGTTCTTGGATTTATCCATTTGTTGTTTTATTTTTATTTTTATTTGTTTGGTTATTTTTTTGCATGTTTCATATGGGACTAGAACTAATTGCGTGTTCACTGCGAAATCGTTTCAATTTATCGCCTCGGGTTGATTTTATGCCTCAGATTCACATACATATTAATGAAGCCGCCGTCGACCGATTGCCAACTGTGTGAGTGAAGAGAGGCTTCTACTGGCCAAGTGGATCTGCCCGGTTGGCTGGCTGGCTGGCTGGCTGACTCGCCCGGCTCGCCCGGCACTGATGGACCTGACTGGGAATGGGACTGGGAGTGGGACTGGGGGCAGCAGCTCGGCGTTGATTTATACGCTTCAATCCCACATTTTTATTTCTTTGGCTGCCATTTAGCTAAAATATTTCATATCTGCGCCATCGCGCAGCGTTCGCCCAGCTTCGGGCTGGATACCGAGCTGGTGCCTGGTGCCTGGTGCCTGGACAGCCGCTGCCCCGTAATTATGCGATTTGTTATTCGAGATTTGAGGCGATTGTGACTGTGAATCATGTGCGCCGGGCAGACGGCGGCAGAGCGCAGATGATTTAAAATGCGATTTCAATTCTGGCATTTCTGATTCGCAATTCGCAGACTGCGTTGGACCTGTACAGATCCCCGGAGCGGGTCGGGGCACAGGTGGACCTGCCCATGCATCGAATGCTGATCCTGTACTCAGCCAGGAGGCGAGGCCGAGCCATTGCATGTGCAACACACAGACACCAAGACAGACAACAACTCGAACTCAGAATCGGACTCAGACTAAGGCTCAGCCTCAGATTCGCATTCGCATTCGCTGACTGAGTGACGTACTGAGGCCTGACTGATATGGGAGGGAACCTGTAGCTGTGCCCCCAAGATCTGCGGCAGCAACAGCAACAGCAGCAAAAGCTCAACATGCGCAATCTCTGTCCGCATCCTCGGGCACCGAGAGAAATTCTACTAAAAATTAGCATTATAAGGTAAAGTGATGTATATATATATAAAGAGAGGGATGGAGAGAGAGAAAGAGAGGGAGAAAGAGACCCGGAGACCAAAAGACAAAGTAACGGAGAGAATATTCAAGATAAAATTAGATGACTTTCACAGCTTGTAAAGATGACTCCTAAAAGCAATGCATGAATTTGTGAGAATCGCAAAGAAAGGCCACTTATTAAAATACGCAAAAATGTGCAAAATAACACATATACATATGTATAGACCGATGAACATTGCTAAATCGATTGCGCTATTGATGCTGACGAAGAACATATGTTCTTTATTAGATCCGGGATGTCTTCTTCTGCCTGTTACCAATACAAAACTATTAAAGCCTTTTTTTAACAATTTTTATCGCGTTCGGAGCAACAGTTACTAACAAAATTTGTGGAGTGAGAAATCTAATATAAGTAATTAAGAAATATTCTTCTTAGATCTTAAAAGTCTCTCCTTTTCTTGTTTTCTTCTTAGTTAATAAAACGCAGCTATTACAAAATATTTGTATTTTTTGCAGTGTATTTGCGCTGTTGCTGTTAGTGTTCGCTGCGCTTGATTGCATTGCATGAGGCCCTCGTCATTTGGCATCGTCGTCCATCTTGGCACAACGTCAGAATGTGCGATTCGTTAGCTTTGGCGGTTGCTGGGGCATAAATCACTCCTTGGTCTGGGCCTGATCGCTTAGCGATCCTCCTTCAACTTCACCTCTAAGCAGCTCCAGCTCCCACTGCTGCTGCTGCTGCTCCAGCTCCTCCTTCTTCGTCTGCTGTTGCCGCAACTTTTTTGCTTGCTGCGTTTCGTTGATTAATAATTAATTTGCGTCTTCTTGCCTGCGGTCGTCGTCGTCGTCGTTGCCGTTGCCGCTGCGGCTCACCTGACGACCTGACTCCTTTATAATGAACGGTTTGTGTGTGTGCCAGGACATTCGTCGTACATCATCGAAATGCGCACCCAGTGCCCATACGCCAAACGTCTCTGGCTGATTGCTTTGGCTCACAGGTTGCCGGGGCTCCTCCTTAGCTTAATGCATAAATTCTTTTGGCCAGGCCTCCTCCTAACCGGTATTTAATACAGCAACAACGGCTACAACAACAACAACAACAACAGCTCAGGCATAAATTAAGCGAAAGGTGTTTATACATTCGATAATAAATCAATTAACAAATTTGTAATTATTATGTTCATAAATCTCAGCTTGAAGGCCGCATCAATGGCTTAAATCCACGATTAAAATATTTTGATAGTCACACCCCAAAAATAACAAAGCGGAGCAGGCTTCATCAGCCAGCTAAGACATGAATTGGGCAGCGATCTCTAGTTAGTTTTAGATGTTCATCTTGTCGCTGTCTTTCCTGAGATGGGCTTACAAATTTCGCTATAAATCAAGTCAGAAGTTCGGCCTCCGTTTAACTATGCGAATATGCGAAGTGAATTTGTGGTTTTCTTTAAATCTAAACTATTAGACCTTCCACTCATTTTCCACACAATAAAGTGAATTTAGTACGAACTATGTGCTTCTCTTCATAGCTGAACTTTTTTTCACGTCTTTTCCACCCCACCATGTGAATATCTTCATATAAACAAAGCAAAAACAAAGTCTCTAATTATTCGACAAATTCATTAAGAGTATCGCAAAAGAAACAAAAAAATATTACATTCTACAGTTTTTGCGTGGCTAATATCGTTGTTTTCTATAAAATTCCTTCTCTTCCAATTTTTGTTTGACTTGGTTTTTTTTGCTATTTCATTCAATTTGCGCATCAAGTTTGAGTTGCATTTTTTTTTTTTTTTTGTGTTTGCGTTCGCGCCCTTTTAATGGCCAGAGCAGAGGCTGTTAACCAGATGTGTTGCCCGGATCTCTCACGCAGGGGCCACTTCATGGACGGCGCCAGGCGGCGTCGTCATCAACAAGAATATCGTCAAATTTGAGGGCCTGTGCCTGGGCCCATTTAAAATCACTTTGCGGCAACGCCACGCCCCCGTCCTCGCCAGCGCCGTGTTATGCATAAATAAACGCCGTGACCCCGGCGCCTACACACTCGCTTCCCACCCCGCCTGCCCCCCTCCGTGGCCTGGGCCCCGTTCGTGGCTGAGCGGGCTTCGGCGTCATTTGCTTATCCTTTTGACTCTCGACGTAGCCGTCATCGTGATTGATGGCAGCTTGGCCTGGCCCTAGGCCTGTAATATGGCCAGTTTCGGCAACTCTTGGCCCCAAAAGTTATGACGTGTTAATCATGGCGCATAAACACACCAAATTGTGGGCGTCACCTGCTCCGTGCCACGATGACGGATGTGCCCCGGCGAATGTGTGAAAGAGCGGCCATTAGCAAAGTGCCAACGGCCATGCCACCGAAATGGAAGATTATCTCATTATTGGGACACATAAGAAACTGAGCACCAATTTACAGAAATTAACGAAGAAATATAACACCAGAGTCAAAGTTCTCTAGTCGTAAGTGACTGACTAGGACATACCCTGCACCCCAAGAAGAACTAAATTTATGTTATGGAAACACTTCGGTGCTTATAGTCCGATCTGTATCAATTTAGTAGGGCATAAATATTGCGAATCTGTTGAAACCGCCAAATTCTTAAATCTTTTAAGTTATGCTTAACAAACCTTGTTTCTAGCTTTTGTAGCAGGAGAGATGGACTTAGCTGGATCGTCTAACTGAACATGAGTATATACACTCAATGGGCTCGAAGATGCTTTCTATTGACTGTAACATACATTTGCACAAAGACGTTGTAATCTCTAAACTCATTTGAAGGGTATAAAAATAAGTATGAAGTGTGCAGTTAGATGTGATCGAACGTGTCGGTTATTTTGTGTACAGATATAACATACAACCAACAAATATTAAGCACCTCCATTAATTTGTTAAGAACTGCCTAGCAGAGTTCATTCCCTGTGACTATAAGTTCAAGAAATAAGAGTTTTTACCCATATATATATTCCAAGCTCCAAGTCTCTATACGTTTTCAAGCAGACTCGTTTTCAATTGTTAAACGAAGTATATATTACGATTGAGAGTCAAACTGACTATATATACACATATATTTGCCCTGCAACAAAATGCGTTATTTCCAAGTCGATGTTGCGCTTTGCAAATATTTACCAAATTGAAGAAAAAACCTGCCTGCATATCACATGCCCTGAAGGACTCGAAGAAAATAAGTTTCTTTGTGGGCAAATATGGTAAATTGCAGTGTGATTGCATAGTGATGCCCAAGGATAATTCGGCGTGCATCGAACTAATGCAATTTTCTCAACAATTACCATAAAGGAGCCGAGTACAAATCACAAGGACTTCTGTTGCGAAATTAAACCAAAAACCAAATCTGCGACGTTGTCTGTGTTTTTTCAATTCGAATTCAATTTCGATGCGCTTGGCAATTCCCATTGCAAATGGCAAAGGATCTACATGCCCCCAAACACCCTCGATTTGCCAACATTGCAACTACACTGAGCAGCAGGATGAGGATGAAAGTATGGCAATGCCTAATGCAGCAGTGGCTGCTCCAGCCCCAGTTTCAGCTCTTTGAATGGACCAAGGCGCTGCGGCCAAATGTAGGGTGCAGCAAAAGGCATCGTCGAGTAAATCTAATTTCGCTGGACAAGTGACTGGCATTGATTGCCGATATTTTGAAGCCAGCTACAAGTTGTATGATGGGTGAAGTGCCAGGGATCGCCTCGAGTTAAGCTTTTAGCTGATGTACAACATATTCCGGCAAATTTTTAGAATTGTTAGCAAATCTTTGACAGTTGGGAAAACTTGGCTTACAAACCGAACGACAATCTTTCGGACTAGCTACTAGCTACTTTCTCTAATGCATTAAAGTTTTTTAAGCTTCAATGCTATGGATTCGGTTAAAAGATCTGCATGAAATTAAAATTAAAGGCACGTGAAAATTTGACTGCAACTAATGACAATTTCCGCATTAACCATATAAAAAAGCAGCTTTTTAAACGGCATACTTTAGTTAGTTGCTGATTCTGCAATAGTAAATCGTAATGAAAGTAATATTTATATTTCTGCTTATCTCCATTCCCGCACGTCAAGTGAGCTGTGAAGTGAGTTCATCTATCCAATCTCTTTGGATTGTACTATTTAAATCGTGTGCATCGTCTTACAGGATTCCAAGGAGCTGTTGCAGTACAAGACGCGCAGTGTTGATAAATGCCTAAGAGCCGGCGCAGTGTTGATAGAGCGCATGATTAAAATGCAGACCGATTTTAATGAGCTGCAGTCAAGCCAGAATACAAATGCCCAAGATAAGATGGCGAATATTACAGCACTGATAAACGACAAGTTCGATGGCATCGATAAGAGGTTCAATTTCAAGAATCTACCAAAAACTCCATTCGAGAAAATTGGTGCTAAGTACTATTATATTGAGGTAGAAACCAGGGCTAACTGGTTCGAAGCTGCGCATAAATGTCGCCAATTAGGTGGACACTTAATCAATTTAAAGAACGACAGGGAATATGATAATATAAGCAAGCATTTAGTGAACTCTAATCTGACTGCTTCCGAAGCCAATAGTTTCTGGCTGGACATGAATGATCTCAGTGTTGAGGACCAATTCCTATCGCTGACTACGGGCCTGAACGTGACATTCGCCCACTGGGAGGCGAATCAACCGGATGACTTTGACAACGAAGATTGCGTGGAACTAAGGAACAAACAGAATAGATTTGTTATGAATGATGCCAGCTGCGAGACTAAGAAATATTTCATATGCCAGAAGGAATAAGTCATATTAAAATCTACTAGTTGTCGACTTTGTTCCTCATTGTTGTGGAACACTTGAAATAAATTAATAATATATGCAAGCTGATTTTAGTTTAGTAAAGCATATTTTCAAATAATATAATGTATAATGCTGATTTTTGGAAATTTTTTTTTAATATTTAGTTAGCTGGTTCTAGCTCCTCGGAACGAAATACCTAGTAAATGGACGTGATTAGGAGATAAATAAAAAATGGCAAAATATTCTGTTTACAAAACAAGATATTTTCATCAAACTCAACATTCTCTTTAGGGTAAACATATCTTAAGTTCAAGCCCAATTTGAAATAGTAATTATACTACAACCCGGCTTGGATTAGTCCAGATCCAAATCCAAATCCATTTACGCACGAGTTCCCTTCAATAACTAATTGGTTCGTACAAGATGAGATCTACACTCTTATATCAATTAGTGATATATCTAAGAGTCATAAGAGAAGTAATGAGCGCTTTGTTAGTCAAGTTAATTGAATATATTCAGGTCACATTTAAGGCAACTAAACTGTGCCCAGGCAGATAAGTTAGTTACTTTAATCCGTAGGCCCCACGCACTTCTGTGTTTAGTTTTAATCGGGATCCACGTAACCAGCCATAGATATTTGCCATTTCAATTTCAACTGCATTTCGTTTGGCATCGTTGTGCCATCAACTACTCTGATTAGTCGTCCTGGCTGGGTAGGCATCATTTCATAGCCGATTGGACAACGGCCATTCGCTGGTGAAGCCCAACTGGATGCGGATTGGATTTGTTCAGCTGCTGCTGCTGCTGCCACTGCGTGTGGTGTGGAATGTGCGTCTGTGTTTTTAGAAAATAAAATTGCATTTTCATGAACCTTTGGCCAGGAATTTATCTGGTGCACAGATTTTCCCAGCCCGTCCTTCGTCCCGCTCCAGGCACAGGCCTCTCCAAATAGGCACGCACGTAGCATAAAGCGCATAAATAGCTAGCACAGGCCGAACAGCGCCCACAACCAGTGCTCCAACTCCTCTCACCCCTCACATACTCCTGGCCTGGTGGCATCAGCAATTGTCCCAGCTATGGCCAGGACATGCGTGCATATTTACGAGTCGGCTGTGGCGGCATCAGCTGCACCAAAAACTCGATTGCCTCGTCCTGTGCCTCGTCCGCCTGCCTCCTCCTCATGCGCATCCTCATCCTCCAGTGCACTGGAGCACTACGCTGTGGTTGTCGAGAGTAACTGGGAGGGTCTGTGGGGCTGTTGGCGTCACAAAATAATTACCAAAGCTGGGCCTCGCTTCGGTCGCTCGCTCGGTGATTGAGTTGGCAAAACGTTGCACTCGATTTGATTTTTTTGGATTGGGGTTTGGGGTTTGGGGCCTTGGGTCTGGTATATAAGCGCCAGCCCTAGCTGGAATTTATGCGTGTGCCATTGGGCCCAAAGTTTGTCGGTTTTTAAGCTAATTTGGTGAGCATCCTGGCTGGCCGGCTGGCTGGCTAACTGCACTGCACTGCATTGCTGGACGTGGAGCATTTGAGTGAGTGAGCAAGATTTAGTGGCACACATAAATGCCAAAACCGAAATGCTCCAACAGCAAATCACGGCCAGAATGACACGCCCACCTCGATTGCAGTGCGCTCGGTTTGCAGATTTTTGGCACAACCGTGCAGACAGACAGGCCGGGCTGCGCCGGGATGGGAGAACGGGACAGTTGTTGGGCAGCTGAGCTGAGAGCGATTAGGTCTGGTCGGTGCGAGCGCAGTGCAGTGCAGCAGGGAACCTCATGATTTGCCCATAAATGCAACAACAACAACAACAACAATGGCTATGCGGAGGGTAGGGCACGAGCATGACATGTTTGTGCACCAGACAAGCAAATGCGGGCAAATTTGAATAAAGTTGAAAATGAGAGGCTATAATTGTGGTCCTCGTGCTGCTGCACCTATGGCAGCTCATCTGAAAGGACTTTAAGTAGCTGTTGACTTAACTGAAGCACACGGTTTGCAAGTCTTGATTTAAATTGTAGTACACATAACTATTATTGGCAGATCTTTGAGTTACACGCTCACTAACTGGTATTACCTATTGATTCGATATTTTCCGCCATTTGTAACGTGCTATTATTTTAAATCAGCAAAGCGAGTCCCATGACAAATCAAATCATTCAATATCATTTAGATATTGAGACATTCCTTTTTATCATAAGGTCCAACTATTTCAGATAGATGATGAAAGCAGGGTATGGGGTTTGGGGCATGGCAACAACAAAATGTCTTCTTCTTACACTCTCCTTGACCGATCGTCAATGAAACTTTTGTCTGGTGTCTAAGTGCATTCGCCAATGTCTGAAGTCAGTAATCCATGATGTTGTGTGTGTGTGTTTTTTTTCTTATGTCAGCAGCAGCCACCGCATCATCATTGCCATTAACCAATCGAGTTACCAATTGGCCAACTCGGGCCACAGCAAGTGGGGGCATGCCTGCAGCTGTTGCTGCATGTGTCATCCGTTAACGTTTCACCCGTTCTTCACACTGGCATGCCCCCGCACAGCCGCGCCACCTGCCCATTGTCTTGGGCTCTTCCTAAGGCTGGAGGCTTCTCGGTGTCCCTCGTCGTCGTCATTGTCGTCGACTCCAATAAATCAGTTTGATTTATTCACCTTCGCTGATCGTACTTTTTTTTTTTGTTTATTTCGATTGTTGTCATTGTCGTCGCTGTGTGTTGCCCCATCGGTTGTTGTTGTTGTTGTGTCTTCACGCGCGTGCTTGCAACTCGCTGGGCTCTTCTATGCATCGATCCATGCCCCGTGGGCACAACCAAGCTCCTCAGTTCCAGTGCCATTCTGATCGCGTTTCCACCTGAGCTGGGACTGTCTCGCTGGAGCGTCTAATTCAATTTAGCATGCGACTACAACAACAACAACAACGACAACTACAACAACAACATCATATGGCAAATATTCGTTTCGTGACATTTGATTTTATATTAAGATTAACCGTATTTGCTAAAGCGAACAATTGCCTCGAGCTGTTTGAAAATCTATAGAATATTCTTTTGAGAATCTCCACGAATTTGACTGATCTTTATTTGATGTACATAGAATAATATACAACAAATTACTTTTAGTTTTTGGGTTTTAAAACAATATATATTCTTGAAGAATAGAACATGTGAATTTCAAAAGCAAAATTGTATATAACTGTCAAGTTGTATATTAAAATAAGCCCAAGTAAAATATAAGTAGATCGTAAGTTAAAGACCCTGAACTTGTTGTGCATTCACTTTTTGATTTATTAAATAAATAAATAAACACAAGTCGCACAGCTGGTTGTGAATCTGTTGCCACCTTCCGGATTTGTGTGAGCCATGTTTGAAAAGTTATGGAAATCAAAATTCATGACAAACTCAAAATGTGAACAATGGGCTCTGTCATAATAAAAGCGACCCGTTTGCTCTACGTAGAAGTCTTTCGCACTTGTAATGTTTCCCGCGAGTCAGTTGGCTGACAAGAAATTTATATTAATTTATTACAGTTCAACTGACAGAGAATTAAGCGAGAGACAATTTATGGTTTTGTTTTCAGCGCATTAAGCTGAAAGGAAAGAAGACATCGTTTATGCAAATATCCAACGAGCTTTCCAGAGTTTTGCTCATCAATCGCGTCAGCTGAGCGCATACGACAAATTGCGCAGATTCCCAAGTCTCTGCGAATGAGTTGAGCTATCGAGTACAGCAACAATCGATCGTTGGCATCAATTAAAACAAATATCGATAGCATTAATACTACAATCGATAAGCTTAGCTAGTCTTATAATAAATTTATCCAAATGTTTCTAACTGGCGAACGGATTTACATAGTATATATATGCTTGATTAGCTTACATAGCTAGCCCAGCTGTCCATCGGAGTACGCACTACCTTTGCCCGCTGTTGCCTTTAAATCGATAAGTATCGATATTATGCCTATCGAGGTATTTATTAAATATTCAAATATTAAACAGAAATTAATTTAATAATATTTTTATATCCA